AAGAGAGAGAGAGAGAGAGAGAGAGAGAGAGAGAGAGAGAGAGAGAGAGAGAGAGAGAGAGAGAGAGACGTGTGCTCGTCCCTAGAAAAATAAAAACTGTGACAGTCTTTTTTAACTTTCACATGTATTTGTCCAATAGATTCATTAGTTTAGTATTTGTCCATTTACGAGATGGGTTTTCTAATTAAGTGTACCTTCTTGGTTATTTCAAAGCCGTTCTACTTTGAAATATGAATTTTATGTTGTCCTAGAAGTACGTATTTGTAGTCTCTGTGCCCAAAACTGTTGTAATCATACCGTTCTGACTTGAGTTGTAACGTTTCAAAAACGTGTGTCTACATCACTTTGTCCAAGAACCAAACCACGACAATTTTGAATGGGCGGGGGATAGGGGGAAGTGGGGACCAGGAGTCAAAGTCATGCACATTGTCCTCTTTGACAATACAAGCATACTTTTTTAAAATAGTTTTAGTAGAGGTTTTACAGCGCTCGCAACTGCTCACGGTCATATTATGAGCGCCAACGGCATACTTTTGTGTTGGCTAGTTTCTGTTGGCACCACTGTTCATCGTGAATACTATAGATTAGTAACAAAAGACAAATTATGACCTGCTATTCGCACATTCCCCTTCCCGAAAAGCTAAAATATGAAGTCATATTTCACCACAAATCCAGAATAGTCTCGGAGAGTTTGTCGTTGGACGTGTTAGAGCACCCTATTCATCAGATTTAGCGTGACTTTCATTATTTAAAAAAATCTAAACTGAAAGAAACGCTTCATGATAAGGGATCTAAGGACGCACATAAGATTCAACAGGTGACCATGATATGAGCCTTGGAAAAAAGGAACACTGGTTCATATTTTAGAACGTTGGGTGCATCGCATTGTGTAATTGGTAGACATTAATGGAGCGTATGTTGAATGGGTAACATAATTACGTCAATTTTGAAATATTTAAACAATTTTGATAACTATACTTGTGAGAGTTGTTACGATGGGAAACTTACATATGAAACGCACCTCGTAGGTTATTTGTATGTCCTTTAAAATAAAAGTAAAATACGTTTAATAATATAGTCCTACTTACCTCAGTCAAACCAAAAGTTGGTTTCCTACTCTCAGTTTCCTTTAGAATGGACTGGTGGAAGACGAAAGTGAGGCAAACTTATATTGCCTCTTTGAGCCAAGAACTTATACCAACGGGGGTCGTAATATGATAAACGTAGCTAAGCTATAACGGTCAGCTAACGTCGTGCTCTCCACATTTGTAGCTTAGCAACGCGTTTAGCTAAGGGCACAATATCCCAAAGAGCTCAATAAGTCTTGCTGTTTTGTCTCTGGTATTATGCAAGGATGCCAACCCCCCACCCCCCTACACACACACACACACACACACACACACACACACACCCACCCGAAAACTCCTAAACCCCTACCCACCCCCATCCCCTTTTATTTCCGTCGAGAAATTCGGCGCTCGCAGAGCCGCGCCGGGGGGTACATGTGGCTGTATTGATTTTTGCCCCAAATTGTCCCACATGATCTTGGTTAGCATATGTTGCTATGCCGAACAGAACGTATGTCTAACGAAGGTCCCACTAGACACACATTGTCATACAAAGGATCTGTGTTTGTCAAGGCGCAGCTATGAAAGCTGTTTTATAATGAACAGTGCTTCCCAAAGCAAAGTTCCCTAAAGTCCGAAACTGGTCGCTCAAAGGAGAACTATTTCGCAAGATTATAGGACCACGGCCAAAAAGTGTGGAACCGGTGTAGTTGCCCGGATTACTTTCTGAAAGAAATACTCTCAGGAGATATTCTTGAAGCCGGTCAAACCAAACTCAAGCGTATAAAAGGATAAATGTTGATTTAAACATGAACAGACCAGAACTTTCCCCTTTGACACAAATAA